CTGATCAGCAAGGGTAGTTGTCAAATAATGAATACGTTCTGCAATATCAAGTATTCCCTATACATTCATTAGGTGTATATGAAAGATTATTTAACAATTAATTATGAAATTATCTTTATATATATATATTTATTTATTTATTTATTTGCTTACTTTAGGTCCATGATAAATAGCATACATGGCGGCCATATTAGCCAATAATGCTTGAGCAGTACAAATATTACTTGTTGCCTTTTCACGTCTAATATGTTGTTCTCTAGTTTGTAAAGTCAATCTATATGCTTTATTACCGGATGAGTCTTTAGATACGCCGATCAATCTACCAGGCATTCTACGTTTATTCTTATCCCGACAAGCAAAAAAAGCAGCATGTGGACCACCATAACCCAACGGAACGCCAAATCGCTGACTGTTGCCTATTGCAATATCAGCACCCCATTCACCAGGAGGTTTGAGTAAAGCAAGAGCCATCAAATCTGTTGCACAGACAACTTGGGCACCCAGTGAGTGAATTGTATCAGCAAGAGAGGAATAGTCATTGATTGATCCAACTGTTGTAGGATACTATACATCAATTATAACAACCACGAATACAATAACAATAAATTATAAAGTCTTTTTAAATTATAATAAATGAAAATGAGAATGAAAATTACTCAAAAAAAATTTTTTTATACTTGCTTGAATTAATATTCCAGATAAATCTTTTTGTTGAGTGAAATCATAATTTAATGCATCAACGATTATTATATTAATGCCAAAACATGCTGCTCTTGTTTGAACACATGCAATTGTTTGTGGATGACAATTTTCATCAATAAAGAAAGTGCTATGTTTTTGTTTGGTAGCAGCACATGTTATTAACATGGCTTCAGCAGCAGCAGTTCCTTCATCAAGTAGAGATGCATTTGCAATATCCATACCCGTTAAATCCGTCACCATAGTTTGAAAGTTCAATAATGATTCAAGCCGACCTTTTTTGTAATATATATATACATTTTAATGATTAATTATCATCATCATCATTATTATAA